TATCAACAAAAATATATGATCCCAATAACCCAAAAAAAAAAAAAAAACTTGAGCTGGGCATGGTGGCTAACACCTGTAATCCCAACAACAGTCTGGGAGGCTGAGGCAAGTGGATTGCTTGAGCCAAGAGTTTGAGACTACCCAGGGCAACTTGGCAAAACCCCATCTCTACTAAAAATACAAAAAATTAGCTGGGCATGGTGGCACAGGCTTGTAATCCCAGCTACTCAAAAGGCTGAGATGGGAGAATCACTTGAGTCTGAGAGACAGGGACTACAGTGAGTCGAGATCAGGCCACTGTACTCCAGCCTGGGCAACAGAGTGAGACCCTGTCTCAAAAACAAACAAATGAAAAAACAAAACAAAACAAAAAACTTATGCATGGCCTTAAATATAAAAGAAAAACTTTTAACTACTGAAAATCATTAAAGCAGCATTGCCAAAATGGAGAGACATACCATACTCATGGGAAGGAAGACTCAATATTAGAGAAATGTCAGTGCTTCATGAATTGTTTATAAATTTGCAATTTGTAACAAAATCATAAAAGAATTTTTCATGGATTGAAAAACTGATATTAAAGTTTATATGAAAGAGTCAAGGACCAAGAATAACCCAAGTAGAGAGAGAGATTATTAATCTGTACTTATTACGACAGTGTTGTCATGGGGATAAATATATAAATGAATGGAAAAGAACCATGGAAGAGAAAATATCCCACTTCCTACACAGTAATCAACTCTAGATAAAGACCAAAATGCATGAAGCAAAACTTTAACATGTTCAGAAGAAAATATAGGTCATTTTTTCTGAAATTAAGGTGGGGAAGGAGTTACTAAATAAGCCACAAAAAGCACAAAACATGAGAAAAAATAGGGATACATTTGACTATATTAAAAAATAAAGCTTCTGTTTTTTAGAAGATATCATTAAAAGCAAATTAGCAAATGAGAAAAGGAGAAAAGACAAGCTACAGTCTGGGAAAAGACATTTGCAACACATATTATCAATGAAATATTAGTATCTAATAGAAATGTGTGTGTATCTAAAAATTTTAGTATCTAAAAATTTCTTAGAAAAGCAGAACTCAGTAGGGAAAATGGGCAAAATATAAGAAATAGAAATTAACAGAAGAGAAACTTCACATGACCAATAGGAAAATACTCTCAGTCTCTCAATAAGTAAAAAATGGCAAATTAAAACACAGTAGTGAGATATCATTTTATACCCATCAGCTTGGCAAAAAGCTAAAGATTGCCAATATCAGGTGCCAACAACAGTGCAGGCTGCATTGTAGAGCAGTGGGAACTCTTTTACTTGCCAGTGTAGAATTCCTTTGGAGAACAATTGGGCAATATATAGTAAAGTTGAAATGTCCAACCCAGAAGTGGCCACTCCTAGTTTTAAACCTTAAAGAAGCTTTTCCATATGTGCCAAATGATATATACAAAATCATAAAAGCAACAATGTAAAAGCAAAAAAAAAAAAAAAAGGAAATACCCAAAGATCAATCATTTTGGGGGAAATTTAATTTCTTACAATGGAATACTCTAGAGCTACACACATCAACCCAAATGTCTCTCACAAACAAGCAGAAACGAAAGCTGAAGACAGAATATCATTAATATCATTGATGACATGTAAAATTGTGAAAAACCTATATATTGTTTAGATATACATACATCTGTAGTAAAAGTATGAAAACATGAATAGTCTAAATTTAAGATAAATCCTAAGCTTAAGAGAATGAAGAGGAAGAAAGGTATAAAGGAGTTTCAAATGTATTTGTAATGTTTTATATTTTAAGCTGACCTGTGGGTCCATGGGTGTTATACTATTCTTATACTTTTATTGTGAAATATTATATGAAATTCTTTCAAGGTAAGATTAAGAAGTTATTTTTATTGAATTAGAAACTTTGTTCACAATATTATGTCATATTTGAGATGTGATCTGAAAAGTCAACAGTAAGCTTAAATTTTTGTTATAAAAATAATCATGTATGCAAATTTTAAAAATCTATGAAGATTTTATAATTTTTTTTCTGCCCAGTTCTGAGGCATAAGATTTTATAAATTTATTCTGTAGGTTGTAATTTGCATTTTAAAGAGTCTAAGAATACTTGCCATATCTTCAAATATTTTATTGTAGGCAATTTATAATAACATAGACTGGGCAACGCCAATGTGTGAGTATGCAAATTTTATTTGTAGTCTGCTGAATTCATTTTTCCTCCTAAGCACTGATTTCATGTCCAGAATATTGTACACATTGAGGTATTTGGCTGGTTAAATTCCATATACACTAGAATAATACTGTTTAATTTTAAACTGTATTTTTGGTTACATTTGTAGTAAACGAATGTGAGGCACAATTGGCAAAACTGGGATATTTATCACTTAAATAACTATACTTCCTGGGCAATTGAAAAAATGCATTACCTCAAACCTCTAGACAATTTATGGCAATATTTTATTTACATATTTAGAGACAGTCTCCCTCTGTCACCCAGGCTGGAGTGCAGTAGCATGATCATAGCTCACTATAACCTAGAACTCCTGGGCTCAAGTGATTCTCTTGCCTCAGCCTGCTGAGTAGCTGGAACTACAGGCAGGTACCACCACCCCCGGCATGTTCCGCATATTTAGCAGTCCTCATATATTTCTGGTGAGAGACTTAAGATAACCCAGTTAAGATAACCTTATCTGTGAACAAAACAGTAATAGAATAATAATAATGATAGCCAATGTTTATTGACCTATGTACCAGGTACTGTGCAAAACACTCCATAACGATTATCTCACCAATCCTCACGTTATCTCTTAGAAATAGGGACCATTATTATCCTTATTTTGTAAGAAATTGAAGTAACCTGCCTGAGATTGCCTAACCAATAAGTGATGAAGCAAAATTTGAACCAGGCAATCTAGATTGAAAAACCCTGGATTATGTTGCCTCTTTGTGGATTATGGTTGTACTAACAAAACATAAAATTTCTAGGCCAGCTTTATTTTCAAGTATTTTGCACCACTGTCCTATGTACTTAAGGCTTTCACACCATATGTTCTGATTTAGGGGTTTCAGACATATGGTCTCTACAGTACTGTGGAAAAAGGAGCCAAGAGACCTGGTCCCTTTCTTAACTGTCACTAGCTTGAGTAGCTTGACGTATATCTCTGGGACTTAGTTTCTTCACCTGTGAAATGACAACATTGTAGGATATTCCTGGAGGGTCTTTTTGACTACAGGAGTGAATAATAATCCTTTAAAAGATGCCCATAAGCCAGGAGTAGTGGTACACCCCTGTAGGTTCCAGCTGAGGCTGAGACAGGAGGAGCACTTGAGCCCAGGAGTTCAAAGATTGCAGTGCACTATGATCATGCCTGTGAATAGCCACAGCACGCCAGCCTGGGAACCATATCATGACACCCAGTCGTTTAAAAGAAAAAAGAGGCCGGGCGTGGTGGCTCACACCTGTAGTCCCAGCACTTTGGGAGGCTGAGGCAGGTGGATCACCTGTGGTCAGGAGTTCAAGACCAGTCTGGCCAACATGGCGAAACCCCGTCTCTACTAAAAATATAAAAATTAGCTGGGTGTGGTGGCGGCCATCTGTAATCCCAGCTACCTGGGTGGCTGAGGCAGGAAAATAGCTTGAACCTGGGAGTTGGAGGTTGCATTTAGCTGAGATCAGGCCATTGCACCCCAGCCTGGGCAACGAGCGAAATTCTGTCTCAAAAGAGAAAAAAGAAATAAAAAAGATAACTTGCTATGATTCAAATACTACTTAGGAAGAGGAAAAGATTTAAAAGTAAAAGTGAATGAGTATCATGTATTTAATGAGTTTTGATGCTTTAAATCTTTTTATGAAGAGTTAAGCCAATAAACTTAGAAAATACCACAGTGGCACTAAAAATGTCTATAAACTAGCTTATCAAATAGTTTCATATAAGGGAATTATTTAAAATGTAAGAATAACTTTTCCTTAAATTGCTATATCATAATGCTCCTTTTCTCTTTAATCTTTAGAAAGTTGGAAATAATACCTAAACTTACTTCTTGACATGGTATCAAAACAGAGCTTTTGCTGAGAGTTTGATTTATAAAGAAATATGGTTCGACTGACCTTGGATCTAATTGCCAAAAACAGCAACCTTAAACCCCGAAAAGAAGAAACCATTTCACAGTGCCTGAAGAAAATAACTCATATAAATTTTTCAGACAAAAATATAGATGCAATTGTAAGAACTTTGAAATTATTTTCCATTTATATATAATTAATAATGTAAAGTTTTGGAATTGGTTTGGGGGCACACCTAATATATTAACTATATTTTCATTATTCTTATTAACTTTTTTTTTTTGAGACAGAATCTCACTCTGTTGCCTAGGCCGGAGTACAGTGGTATGATCCAAGCTCACTGCAACCTCCGACTCCCAGGTCAAGCGATTCTTGTGTCTCAGCTTCCCCAGTAGCTGGGATTACAGGCATGTGCCACCATGCCCAGCTAATTTTTGTATGTTTAGTAGATGCGGGGTTTTACCATGTTGCCCAGGTTCACCATGTTGAGTTCTTGAGCTCAAACTCCTGAGCTCAAGAAGTGATCTGCTTGCTTGATCTCCCAAAGTGCTAGGATTACAAGTGTGAGCCATCACACTTGGGCTTTATTAACTTATTTTTATCAGTAAGCTTTATATTGTGTTTTTATTTTAACTTTCTACTTGTGATATTAAATTTGTTAAAATTAAATCTATAAAATATAACATTGTGATTTTTAAGTATATATATTAAATATATGTATATGTTCTTCTACAACACTGTATAGTGTCTCAAACTAGATTTGAAACTGTATGTTGGAAAATAATTTCATAGATAATAATTACTTTGGTATTATTGTAAAACCTTGAAATATACATTTTTTAAACATACCAAAATGTTAAGAAGTAACTATGTGAGTGCCATATTTCAAAAGCTTAACAGTGACAGAAGATTGGGAGAGAGAGTGAGGGATAAAGACTACATACTGGGTACAGCGCGTACTGCTCAGTTGAAGGGTGCACTAAAATCTCAGAACTCACCACTAAAAATCTTACCCTGGCCAACCATGGTGGCTCATGCCTGAGCAACAAAGTGAGACTCTGTCTCAAAAGAAAAAAAAGAACTTATCCATGTAACCAAAAACCATCTGTACCCCCAAAACTATGGAAATAAAAATTAAAATTCACACAAGAAAAAAAAAGTTTAACAGTGAAATCTTTTTTTACATATAATTTAACTGGTCATGTAAATGTATGTTACACTGGGTCAATTATATCAGACAAGTTTATGTTTATCTGGATATAATCTGAAACTACATTTTCTCAGCATTAAGGTAATTCTCGGCTATAATCTGGGAAGCTTTAAAGGCTGCAATAACTCTTAAGCCATTTGTTTTGGTATCTGTTGTTTACAATAAATGCTAGAGTACAGGTGAGAGAAATTTTCTTGGAAACACAGGAGCTACCTGAGGGCAGAAATCATGTCTATTGTTTCACATCACTCTAAATCCCTCATCCACTACAATGCCTGACTCATATTATGTGCTTAATAAATATTTATTGAACTAATGAAAGAAATACTGAAGCCCCAGGCAAAATGATCAATTAAATGCTTGATTTTTTTGTAGGGACCCAACCCAGCTCCCATTCTAGATACCTTTCTGATTTCCTGGTGCTCCTTCTTCCCATGAATTCCTTTGCCCAAACCTCATATTTCTCTTTTGTTGTCCAGAATGCTCTACCTCATCATATCATATAAGACTACTTTCTCTGGAGACCACCCAGTAAAGTCCTCATTCCATACTCTGTCCTCGCATCAATCAATGCTCCTCCAGGGTGGATGATCTTGGTTAGGAGGAAGGCAAATTGGTTAAAGTAATTCACTTTAAAATGAGAATAACTTCTAAACTTACAGTGTCCAACACATAGCTGTATTTTAAAAGATGTTAACTTAATGAAGGCTGAGAAATTTTTGAGCAGAACTTCGCTTTATCATTTGTCTATTAACTCTAGGCTGATTCTGTCATGACACAAAAAAATGACAGCCTTTTTAAAAATCCCTTTAATTATTTTCTTATCTCAAAAGTAACTGGTAGCTGGGCATGGTGGATCATGCCTGTAATCCCAGCTATTCAAGACGCTGGGGCACTAGGATCACTTGAGCCCAGGAGTTCAAGACCAGCCTGGGTGAGACCCTGTTTCAAAAAAAAAAAAAAGTAATTGGTGTTCTTAGTCATATAAAATACACATAAAAAGAAAGAATGTAATCCTGTTCAGACACAATCACTTTTAACATTTAGGTAATACCCTTTCAGTCTTTTATTCATATAATTTCACAATAGTGGATCATACTGAATGTACTATTTTCACTTAATTATATATTATGATTTTCACTTAATTATGTATTAGATATTACTGAAGAAACAAAAGGTATTTAATGGTTCTACAGTATTCCTTTAGATATCATTATCATAGTTTTTAAAAAATTAATCTATGATTCTTGAATATCTAGATGACTTCCAATTTTCAATATTATAAGCCATAGTAGTTGACTTCCAATCCTAAATACATATTAAACCCTATTTATAATGTTGAGACAATAATTTGCTTCAACTTCCAGAGGAGCCTGATTGCTTCCAGGGAAAATTGCTTGCACTGGGAAAATCTTAACAATTACAATTTTATTGATATAATTACAGAATTTCTTAAAAAAAAAAAAAGAAAAGAAAAAAATTACAGAATTTATTTTGTAATCAATCTAGTCTAGAATTTCTTTTGTAATCATTCTAGTCTTGTTTTAACTGTGCTAAGAATGGAGAAATACTGTTCTTATATTAACTTTAGGGAAATCTGCAGAATGATCAACTGAAAATTTTTCTTAAAAACTAACTTGTAAGTTTTCAGGAGAAATTACATTTGACATGTTTTTGTTTCCCTTTTAGGAAGACCTCTCTCTTTGCAAAAATCTTAGTGTTTTATATTTATATGATAACTGTATTAGTCAAATCACTAACCTGAATTATGCCACAAATCTGACCCACTTATACCTACAAAACAATTGTATTTCATGTATAGAGAATCTCAGGTCATTAAAGAAACTGGAAAAACTGTAAGTGCTTTTTTTTTTTTTAAATGTATCTGTTTTTCATGATTATAGTACTTAAATTATTTTGCATGCAGGCATTTCCATTTTTTGCATTAAATTCCAAAAGTAAATTGAATATGAAATCAATATGATTTCATACTCATATGAAAAAACCCATACGATTCCCACATGGGTTTTGTGGAACAGACCTCAGTTTTTATTCTCTTGTGCTATTATTAACAAGAAATAAATCATTTCACACATATAATGCTTAATAATTTGTGTTTTATTAAGCCTGATATACTTTTCATTGTAGGGAGTGGTTGTCTTAGGGCTAATAGGGATACCTAAAACATCCCCATGTAGGCTCAACTGATGAAAGAAATTTCCATGGAACCCAGATGAGTTATGTGCCTTTCAGAATCACACATCTCATACCATCTGTTCATATAATTGATCCTATTGATGTAAACTTGATTGTAAAAAGGCATTGAATATCTACATGGCTTCCAGTTATATAACGGAATGTAACTGGTAGCTGGGCATGGTGGATCATGCCTATAATGATTATAATTAGGCAATGAAGATTGGTGGATCCAATCTCCCCAGATTGGAATAACTACCACGCTCCTCAAAGAATGGGCTAAAGGCCTCAGACACAAGAGTTGGCTGGTGAATTCTTATTAAAAATGCAGAGCACTGGGTTCCAAACTACATATCCAGATTAGATTCTCCAGGGGTTAGGCCCAGATATCTTCATTTTTATTTTTATCTCTTGGTTTGAGACAGAGTCTCGCTCTGTCACCCAGGCTGGAGTGCAGTGGTATGATCATGACTCACCACAGCCTTGACGTCCCAGGTCCAAGTAATCTTCCCACAAGCATGCACCATCATGACTGGCTGGCTTTCTTTCCTTCCTTCCTTCCTTCCTTCCTTCCTTCCTTCCTTCCTTCCTTCCTTCCTTCCTTCCTTCTTTCTTTTTCTTTCTTTCTTTTGAGATGGGATCTCCCTATGTTGTCAGACTGGTCTTGAACTCCTGAGCTCCCAAAGTGCTGGGATTACAGGTGTGAGCCACTGTGCCTAGCCATGAAATCTTCATTTTTTAAACCTACAACCCAGAAATGGTTATTATCAAACTATCTACCAGGGCTCTTCATATGTTAGGTGATATATAAAGAACCCTGGTAGATAGTTTAATAACTATTACAATTTGCTCACTTTTTTAAAAAAACACATTTTTAGACTAAATTAAGCGTAAGAATATAATTTGTTCTCATTTAAGTAAACCAACCTTTCATAGATTCAATATAAACATAATAGTCTACATTTATAATTTTGTTCAGCTCAGTGCTTCTGTTATTACACTTTTGTCATGTTTAATAAAGACCACAACATTCCCAGAATGCTATTTAGAACTGTGTCTATGTTTTACAGGTATCTGGGAGGCAATTACATTGCTGTCATAGAAGGTTTAGAAGGATTAGGAGAACTAAGAGAGCTTCATGTTGAGAGTCAGAGGCTTCCCCTTGGGGAAAAGCTTCTGTTTGATCCAAGAACTCTTCATTCCCTGGCAGTAAGTTCATATCTGAATATTTTGAAGAGGAATAATAGTGATTAACAAGTTATAATGAAACAAGAATACAGTGAAGGTATATTTGGACATTGTACATACTCTGCATGTTTATATGGCCAGCTCAGAGCATATCTGAGCACCGAAGCTGATTTTCTCATGTGCAATCTCAGAGACTTAGCATTTATAAAGTAGGATAATAAAATCTGCCTCTTTCAGTAACTGGATGGAAGAAAAGAAGAGTGTTAAAAGATATGTTAACTGAAGTTCTAATACAGATGTTCATTCATTCATAATGTGGACCTTGGTGATTATCATGGCTCAACATTTTAAATTTTAGGAAAAAGGCTAAGGGAAGAGGAATGTGCAATTATTTGGAAACTTTTAAACAATCTAGTAGAGAGCCATTGTAATAATAAGTTGTTTCCTCCCAGGATCCTGATTTGATTGTAGGTTGCACTACATACAGCTCTACCTCATCATAACTGTGTAGGCCTGGGAGCCCTGGGGTTGCGGCTCCAACTGTGTTGCCTGACAACCAGTTACATTGGATGGAGGTGCTACAATAAATTGAGAAGCCAGAGGGTACCACTTAGGCTCCTGCTAATCCTCAAAACAAGAGACTTGTGGAGATAGGCTAACTTCAAATCTGGGGCAGGAGACATAAATGGGACATGGTAGTTGTTTTACAGATTTCATCCATTTTATTTTATTTATTTATAAATAAATAGTTTTGAGATGGAGTCTTGCTCTGTTGCCCAGGCTGGAGTGCAGTGGCATAATCTTGGCTCACTGCAACCTCTGCTTCCTGGATTCAAGCAATTCTCCTGCCTCAGCCTCCCAAGTAGCTGAGACTACAGGCACATGCCACATGTCTGGCTAATTTTTGTATTTTTAGCAGAGATGGGGTTTCACCATGTTGGCCAGGTGAGTCTCAAAGTCCTGACCTCAAGTGATCTGCCACCTCGGCCTCCCAAAGTGCTGGGATTACAGGCGTCAGCCACCATGCCCAGACTCATCAGTTTTATTTTAGAGGGCCCAGAAATAGAGGATAGTGGATGGATTTTGACCCAAATTTATAAAAATTAAGAGGTAGTTCCCCCAATACTTTAGTATCAGGAAATATTTTTTCTAAATATTGGCTGTGCATGATGGATGCCTCCATCTTTTTTTTTTTTTTTAAACTTAAACTAATAAAAACAGATACTACACTTGATCTCAGCCAAAAGGCCATGAAGCAATGGTTGACTCCATCTTGGTAGATATTCCTAAGCCTCATAAGATGACTTTGATTTAGTGTTACAGCAACACTGAAATTCCTGGTAATTAGCTAATTATTATTTTAACTAGTTTGAATATATGGATTGTCAAGAGAAAACCATAAAGACAGGTAGAGAGGAAAATAAAAACCAGATATTATTTTGTTCTTGGTATGTTTCCTATTTAGCAAAACAAAGACAAAAACTGTTTCTTCCTATGTAAGTACAAATCTTTTTAGAGACAGAGTTTCGCTCTGTCACCCAGGCATGATATCTGCTCACTGCAACCTCCGCCTCTGAGATTCAAGCGATTCTCCTGCCTCAGCCTCCCAAGTAGCTGGGACTACAGGTGCACAGCACCATGCCTGGCTAATATTTTTTATTTTTAGTAGAGACAGGGTTTTGCCACATTGGCCAGGCTGGTCTCGAACTCCTGACCTCAAGTGATCCGTCCGCCTCATCTCCTAAAGTGCTGAGATTACAGGCATGAGCCACCGCACCCAGCCCCTATGTAAGTACAAATCTTAGTATTTAGCACAAAATGATAATTTGCTAAAGCCACAGTAAGCATTTTTTCTATATTGTATTATTCGTTTGTTGGTGCATCTTTTTCTTTCTTTGCTTTTTTATTCTTGGCTTCTTTATTCTATACATTTATTTTGTATCTTGGAAAAGGAAATATGACTTATGGAGGAATTATAGGGAGAAAGAGTAAGTTATATGATATATTATGATTCTAAAACTTCCACCTGAAAAATAAAATGCAACAAAAAGAATTTCATGGCTTTTGATGTTCTTGCCTAAAGGACAAAACAATCTAAACTGATCAAGCTTAAACTTTTCCAGGATTAGTATTTCTGGTTCCTATTATATGGTATTTAGACTATTTACTAATGCTAACTTGGTTATTTTTCTTACAGAAATCCCTCTCTATATTGAATATCAGCAATAATAATATTGATGACATTAAAGACTTAGAAATACTGGAGAATCTTAATCAGCTCATAGCTGTTGACAACCAACTTCTGCATGTGAAGGTAGTATAAAGAAATATTAATTTTAAGATAATTACATGAAATTGTGATTGAAAATATGTGTTTTGAAATAGCTACAAAATAAATATATCACATTAAAAGCTACTCTGGATTTGTTCTAAAATTAGCTAATGAATACTTCTTAATGTATTTATTTGCATAATTCTGTCCTCTTATTTGTTTCTCTCCTTCATACTCCAATGCCTCTATCCCTCACCAACAGAATAAAAGTTTCTGAGAAGGGAAGTATCTCTTCTTTGCATTATTTTCCCATTAAACTTTTCCTTCTAGAGAAGGAAAAGACTAGATTTCTTGCCCCTTAAGACTGATTTCCCAATGAATGAGTTTCTAGTAACTGTGACTAGACCTGAACTCTCTCTTGGCTACTTCCTTTTGGGGAATTACTTGAAATTGTTCTGATTGAACTTACTCTAATTTGTGCCAGCTATACTAATGTCATGTTATATCATATAATGCCATATTCATTCAATTATATATTTATTCAAATATGTATTGGCCACCTACATATTTGTCAAGCTCTGTACTACTCAGTGTAGAACAAAGAAAGGAATATATGGTCTTCATCTTCAAGAAACCTATAATCAACCAGTAATGAGACTACAACATGATTACTGCTTTTTTGTTTTTTGTTTTTTGTTTTTGAGATGGAGTCTTGCTCTGTTGCCCAGGCTGGATTGCAGTGGTACGATCTCGGCTCACTATAATCTCTGCCTCCTGGGTTCAAGTGATTCTCCTGCCTCAGCCTCCCACGTAGCTGGGACTACAGGCACATGCCACCATGCCAGGTTCATTTTTTGCATTTTTAGTAGAAGATGGGGTTTCACCATGTTAACCAGGATGGTCTCAATCTCCTGACCTTGTGATCCACCTGCCTCGGCCTCCCAAAGTGCTGGGATAACAGGCGTGAGCCACAGTGGCACAGTATTACCATAATACTTTTTATAAGTATTATGGTAGCCCTAACTCAGCCGGGGGCTACAGAAGGCTTCCTTGAAACATTCATCTACGGGTTGAGCCAATGCTATGACCTCAAAGTTTCTGGTTTGGCAATGGAATGAGCTATGGTATAATTTCTTTACATATGAACCACAGGAAGAAGAATGAGCTTCTTTCTCCCAAAAGCACCTTTTGTTTTCAGAGCTACTTCCGGACAGTCATTTGGTGACCCTAAAAATGTTATGTTGACCTTGTTTCCAAATTCAGACCCATTACTTGGCTCATCCCATAGCTGCTATAAGCAATAGATAATTATAAAAATAAATATATGTATTCTAGCACAGATGAATTACTCAAAATATCCAAAATGCCACTGAATAATCAGGGTGGATTTTTAAAATAAGAAGGCCTTAGGAAGCATGACTCAATTAGTTGTTTCAACTTACAATATGAAAAAGTAAGACGTTCATGGGATAAACTCTGAATTAAAATATATTTTACATTTTATTTTTTATTTTATTTTATTTTTTGAAACACAGTCTCTCACTCTGTTGCCCAGGCTGGAGTGCAGTGGTGCCATCTTGGCTCACCGAAACCTCCACCTCCCAGATACAAGCAATTCTCCTGCCTCAGCCTCCCGAGTAGCTGGGATTACAGACATGTAATCAGGAGACTGAGACATCCTGGCTAACATGGTGAAACCCCGTCTCTACTAAAAATACAAAAAATTATGTATTTTTTGTATACATGTGCCTGTAGTCCTAGCTACTCGGGAGGCTGAGGCAGGTGAATTGCTTGAACCAGGGAGGCAGAGGTTGAAGTGAGTCAAGGTCGTGCCACTACACTCCAGCCTGGGCGAAAGAGCGAGACTCTATCTCAAAAAAAGAAAAAAAGGAAGAAAGAAAAAAAAAGGAACAATTACAATAACATGTTAGCCTCACTACTCTTGCACTTTGGGGCAAGTGAAGTAAGGGTTGCCCGAATACAAGCACTGCAATAGTGACACAGTAGATCTGATAACCCAGTTGGTTACTAAGTAACATGTATAGCATGGAAATGCTGGACAAAAAATAATTCATGTTCCTGGGCAGGACAATCAGGCCAGTGCAAGATTTCATCATGATACTGAGAACAACATCCATTGTACTCAGCTAGGCTTGGTGGCTGACGCCTGTAATACCAGCACTTTGGGAGGTCAAGGTGGGCAGATCACTTGAGGCCAGAAATTCAAAATCAGCCTGGCTGACATGGCGAAACCCTATACAAACATTTGCCGGAAGTGGTGGTACATACCTGTAATCCCAGCTACTCAGAAGGTTGAGGCAGGGGAATTGCTTGAACCTGGAGACAAGACGTTGCAGTAAGCCAGGATTGTGCCACTGCACTCCAAGCCTGGGCAACAGAGTGAAAAAAACGAGGATCCATTTTAAAAATAGCAAATTTTTTTTTCTGGGATTTTACATTAAATATTTTTGGGCCACAGTTGACTTTGGGCAACTGAATAAGGGGGTGGGAGGGAACTACTATATTATACTCCATGTGCCAGGCACTGTTCTAGGGCCTTGGAAAAACACATCTTAAGTACTGGAGATACTATGATAAATAAGACAAAGTCTCTACCCTCAGCTGGGCATGATGGCTCACACCTGTAATCCTAACACTTCGGGAGGCAGAGGTGGGCAGATCACTTGAGGTCAGGAGTTTGAGACCAGCCTAGCCAACATGGTGAAGCTAGGAAGGAAAAAAAAAACAGCCTGTACCTTCAGGGAGATTACATTACAGAGGGACAAGGGAAGAAATGGTATGAAAATACATAAGCAAGGCCGGGTGTGGTGGCTCATGCCTGTAATCACTGCACTTCGGGAGACCGAGGCAGGAGAGGATTGCTTGAATTCAAGACCAGCCTGGAGAACAAAGGAAGACCTTTCCTCTACAAAAAATTTAAAAAAGAAATTAGCTGGGCATGATGACATGTGCCTGTAGTCTCAGGTACTCAGGAGCCTGAGGTGGGAGGACCACTTAAGCCCAGGATGGGATAACTTGCCCCAAAGTACAAAACTGCAGTGAACTGTCATCTGTCCACTGCACTCCATCTTGGATAACAGAGTGAGACCCTGTCTCAAAAATGAAAGAAAGGAAGAAAGGGGGGAGAGAAAGAAAGAAAGGAAAGAAAAGAAAAGAAAAGAAAAGAAAAGAAAAGAAAAGAAAGAAAGACAGACAGACAAGAAAGAGAAAAAGAGAGAGAAAGAAAGAAAGAAAGAAAGAAAGAAAGAAAGAAAGAAAGAAAGAAAGAGAAAAAGGAGGGAAGGAAGGAGAAAAAGAGAGAGGGAAGGAAGGAAGGAAGGAAGGAAGGAAGGAAGGAAGGAAGGAAGGAGGGAAGGAAGGAGAAAAAGAGAGAGAGAGAAGAGAGAAAGAAAAAGAAAGAGAGAAAGAAAGAAACCTTCAGATCTCAAGAGAACAAAAAAGAAAAAAGAAAGACCTAAGCAGAGAAGATTGTGAAAAGTGCTATGAAGGAATTAAATAAGAAAATTAAAAAAAAGGAGTCAGTGGATATTTTAGATCAGGTTATTATGAAAGGCCTCTGAAGAAATGACATTTACGCTGATAACTGAAGGATGAGAAAGAAGATATGCAAAGAGCTGGGAAAAGAACATACCAGGCACTAGGTAAAGCAGATGCAAAGACTATGGGGCCAAAGAAAGCTTGAGTGTCCAAGGAACACTGTAGTATGGTTCCCAGTGCCAAGCTCAGTTTCTGATACATTGTAGGTGCTCAATAAATACACTGTTGAGTGAAGGAAGAGGCAACAGTACACAATATGAGATTAGAAAGGAAGACACAGAGGCCAGATCATAAAGGTCCTTTTAGGATATGATCACAAGTTTTTACCTTATTCTAAGTCCAATAAAAACCCACTGAAAGGATTATTTTCTTTTTCTTCCCTTCCTCTGTCAACTGAAGGAATATTAAAAAAAAAAAAAAAAAAGATTTCTCTACTGCTATATGAAGAATGAGTTTCAAGAATGACAGCAAAGAGATCAGCTAGAGACTACTGCAGAAGTTAAATAAGAGAAGATGGTTGCTTAGAGATGAAGAGGAGTGGGTGGGTTTGGGAATAATGAGTTATATTTTAAGGTAGAATTCATATAACTTGTTTATGAGCAGGATGTAGGCATAAAGGAGGGGAAGGAATCAGTATGACTCCTAAATTTTGTGTGAGGAACTGGGAAGACCATGGTAGCCTTTATAAAGAAAAAATAGAATAATTCCACCTGGTGAAATGCCTATTGGATATTGAAATGAACATGTCATGTAAGCATCTGGAGTTTAAGGGAGAAGTAAGATTGGAAAGTTTGGGAGTCAACAGCATTTACATGATATTTAAGAGCCACAGCATGGGGTGAAAGACAATAGAGATAGAGAAAAAAATGAGGCCAAGACCAATCACAAAAACACTTCAGTATTTAGAGATCAGTTAGACGACTCCATCAGGAGTCAGTGATGTAGAAGAAGAGAAAAAGGAGTTTCAAGAAGGAGAGAGTGGCCACTTGCACTGAATGATGTTGAATGGTTAACATGAGGGAAAACGAGTTTAAAGAACACCTGGATAGAATACCTGATTAACAAAGTTACAGGGGACAATTTTAATTTGTGATGAAGTTGAACCAGAGAGTCTGTGGGTCAAAAACCACAGCAAACGGTAATGTCAAAAAAAAAAAAAAAGTGGATGGATTTCATTAAAGGCTAAGCACTGAAATGTTAGAAAGCCAATATTTCTCTTCCGTCTCATGCATACAAGTAGGCTCTATTCTCAAAACCCTGTCTACATGGCCTTAAAACGTTGAGCAAGAGTTGGTGAATTCGTTCCTTTAGGGAAACTGACTAGCTCAAGAGAAAACATCTCCCAATCCTGACGTTTAAGGGTTTCAGAGGGAAAATGCCAGCTGCCTGCCCAGTTGCCCCACAGTGAGACAGTCAACAAGCCTTACCCTCGCACAGAAAGCTCTCATTCACTTTCATGAATAAACAGGCAGCTCAGGATTAGG